CCTCATGTAGACACTCTTTCTTTGCTTATTCATCGTTTAGCATAAATATAATTTCTTAGAAATTTCATTTAGTGACATTGATTTTTAGGCGTAGATGCATCTTGACTCACTTGCACTAACCTATAGTAATTTAGTAACTCTTTCTTTTCTAATTAACTATGAATTCATTCTTAACACTTTCTTTTGGAGTATGCTTGAGATTTGACTCTACATCATTCTACACACCCATAGGTGAGTACATTTTGTTGCATTTTCCTAGGCTTGGTTGACACATTCCTCACCATTCATCTTAGCATCTTATCATGTCGTCACTATTTTAATTAGCTTTAACATATTATCTCTCCATAATTATTCACCACATTACATGAATGTTCATTTCGTCATATGCCAATGCACTTCGCCTTTAAGTGTATCTCACACTCTTACTTAACCACCCGTAAGTCACATAAATTTATTCAATACATCTTAGGTTCACTTACTTTTAAATGTACGCTAGACATACGAATCCATATGTACAAGCAATGAGGCTTCATTCATAATTCGTCTCAGTGACTCATAGTTACCCAAGATTATGTGGTACAAAACTTATGGATCTTGTACGTATGTCAAGGTCTTGAGTTCGGTTCCTATGGGCAGCATTCATTAAATATTTATTCAGGTAAGACTTATGTATCAAAACGGAATTGGACAAGGGAACCCGGTTTCGAATACCTTGAGAAACAGTTAGTCTCATATTAATTTTTTGATTTTTATTTTTCAGCTTGAAGACTTGAGGATGAATCCCAACACCTTCTCTTCTTTTTCCTTTCTTTTTGTTTCTTCTCTTTTCTAATGGAGACTAAGAGGATATGGGATCGATCCAACACAACCTCATGTTATTTTTCTTTAATTTTTCTCCTAACTTCCTCACCTATCTGAGAGGTTGTGTGTTCGATTCCCACAACCCTCATTTTATTTTTCCTTCATGTTCTCCTATCTCCCTCACCCATCCAAGAGGTTGTGGGTTCGATCCCCACACACCTCATTTTTTTTGAATTCTTTTCCTCTTTTATTCCTTCACTAGAGCCTTAACCCATTTCGAATCACACATACCTCATTTTTATTATTTAATTTTTAATAGATTTAACATGGTGAGGTCTTGTGTTCAATCCCTAATGACCTCACACCTTACCAAAACAATTAAAAAATTTAGCATCTCAGTTGTTGCTTAGCCGAGACCAAATCTTTGGAAATTTGGTCAGGTTTTTAGCCCATTTTTTTCATCATTTGTACGTTAGATTATAAGGTAATTTGCTTGATATTTCGTACATTATTGTGTGCATCTTTTCCAAGTAATCTTTTACAAAAAAAAACACAAGGCTTTAACATGCCATTTTCATGCTCCAAAACATGCCCAAGAACGTGGCTACATACACATTGCACACATTTTCATCATCACATCAATCCGAATCTTCATACATGAAAATAATCATCATGAAAAAACATTATATCCCAAATTTTTACATGCAAACAGACCCAACCTACAACAATCGGTGGGAGCTAGTGATAGGGACATGCAACGGGGAAAATTTCTAGTTTTTGGATTTAAATCCGATTGAATCCTAGGGGTCTCTTGGGAAAAGGACCAAGATGAATAAAACCCAGACCTTTTTAGACTTGCAAACCATCAAAAACCACACGCCCCAGCAAACACACAAGCCTTTCTTCCAAGCTTTGATTCTTGTTTTCAAGAGAAGTTCTTTACTTAAAACACTTAGGCGTACGAATTCTTCCTTTTGTTTTTTGATTGATGCAGAGAAGAACATTATTAGAATAGTGAATTTCTGTTTATATTATGTTTTGATTTGTGGTATAAAGTTGAAAAAGTTTTTAGGAGTAAATTAAAGAATTAAGAGTGGGCAACAAGCACACTCCTAGTAGGAGTTGTTCGCCCCTTTTTGTGGGAATTTTTATTGACTTATTCAACACAATTTGAATTATAAAAATCAAATTATAATTATATATTAATTTATTATAATGCCCCTCCTTAATATCTCTAATTTTTAATTCGTTAATTCGTGCCTCCTTTTGCTTCCAACTCGGCTCGAACCCGAGTTGTGAAGGTCCGGTCAAACTCGTGTTGGACCACCGAGATTTGACCCATTTTGACTTATTAATACCTTATTTAATTAATTAAATATCAGCCTAGGGTAATTACCCTACTACCCCTAGCTCTGAAATTACCTTTATACCCCTAGAACCCTTAAAACCTAGGACTAACCCTTTAAGTCCGATTAAGACTCACCTGGGTGAATCCTAGTATTCGGGTATCCAACATGGATGAACCGACCCGCCTAGCTCAACTAACTCATCAAGTTGGTTAGCTTGGATGTTGCATAAGTTCTGAGGTATGGTTCCACGCGCATCAAGCCGTGTGAACCAGGTATAATCTTGGCATTCTAGGTACGTTTAGGAATTTTTTCGTGTAATAATTTTTAGGTTGTTACAAGAAATGAAAAGGATGTCCTCCAGAATGCAAGGAGGCTAGCCACAAACTCTGAAGCTCAATCTTGATCAACGAAGCGCTTCGTTCTGATCCTGGGTACCTACTTTTAAATCATGGAATGATGTAGGACAACTAGCATCAGTGCATTGAATGGACGAGTTTGCTAGTTGAAGAGATAAAAAATGACTTAATACTGAAGGGATTAGATGAACGTACCTTGGCTATGTTCAACTCAAGATTATACTGAACTCAAAAGATTTTCATATAAATCAGTTTAAATCACATACATTTATATATATATATATATATATATATATATATATATATATATATATATATATATATATAAAGCTCATAAAATAGTGAAAGAAACTTAGTTTGTTAAAGAAAATGCAATAATAAACTCAACTTTATGTATATAAGAAAGTAATATCGCCTCTGTGAGAGTTTCTCTAAACGACAACATCACTATAAGCCTATGTAATGATAAAACATCTCACCTCATGTTACAAGAGGACCAACCTACACCTTGCCATCGGTATAGGAACTTACTCAACTTAGTTGATCCACTAGTTCTCCTTACGTGATCATCTAAAAAGTATGAAACTTCAATTCCCATGGTGACTACATGGTTTACATGAGGACTTGAGTTAATATGAACTCTCATCTCCACATCGGTTCTAAATAGTGCTCCCAAAAATCTACTTTAGCTCTTACTTTTAATAAAAATTCCTTCCTCTCGGTTGATATAATTTGCTTAAGTCAATAGCTTTACAAATCTCCTTTTTGGAAATCAATGTTTCCCTTTTATTTCAAAACTCTTTTGGAACTTCTAGTTCCCCTCTTTACTAAAATGTGAAATATTTATAAAACTCAAGGAAATACTTAGTTCCCTTATATTTTTTTTGAGAATTGAAGTAAACTCTAGCTATTTACTTAACATGAAATGTTAACTCTTAGGGAATACTTAGTACCCTTATATATTTTAAGATATGAACTCAACTCATTACTTAACATAACTTTAAACTTTAACTGTTAAAGAATACATAGTTTCCTTATATTTTTTGTGAAATGAAATTAAACTCTTTACTTAACTTTAACTTTAACTCTTTAAAACAAAGTGAAAACATTTGTCAAAGACTTTAGAAAACTTTACCTTGCCTTGCTTGTTAATTTCTAGACATGGCTCTTAACTAATTTGACTCTGATCATACTTTCCGTTAATTGAATTATGGTTTAAAGGATAATGATATCATGTTTATGGATGATTTCATGATGTTTAAATGTACCTTAAAGTGTTGGAGACAACTATTATAAGGGGTAAATCACATATAAACTAGTATGAAAAGATAGGAAAAGAACGGGGTCTTTAGGGGATCCTGGCACTCTGAGAGGTGAAGAGTTCCATAGACTGAAGGAGAGAAGTTTTCCTCAGGAGCTCTGAGAGGCGTGGCATTCCAGATCCGGAGAAACATACTCTATCATTAGGGTATTTTGAGGCGCGGCGCCCCAGCATCCCCTTAACTGGTTTTTTCGACCTTATTCTTCATTTTTAATCTCTAAACCTTCCCATACTCGAATGGATCCAACCCCAAAAACATTGCATCCCTAATTAACTTATTACCCAAGGATTTAGGCCCGAAAAAAGTCCAAAAATATTGATTACAACTAATAGCGATCAACAACAATCAAATCAACAAGAACGTCAAACTTTCTTTCAAAATTCCAACCTCTAACATGAGTTAATTCATGAATTTGATTGATTTGAATGAAATTGGTGTGTGGGAGAATTAATCATACACAAAAGATACCACATACTTTCTTAGGGATCAGCCACGAAGCAAAACTTGGTGTTCTCGTGTCTTCTTCTTCCTTCTCCTCTGTTCTTCTTACTTTCAAAACCCTAGTCTATTTTTTCTTAGTGCGTATACTAAATAAGATCAGTTTAGACCCCAACATATTACTCCAAAAAGAAATAATTAATTTAATTAAGGATATGACCAAAATACACTTACTATATCCGGTTTAGAACTTTTTCTGCTCAACAACCCATCTTATGGTCATTTTTCACTCATACGACCTCGGAAATTTGTAAATGTGGCATCGTTGGAAAAACATTTAAACGATATTTCCATCCATTTAAATAAATCATGCAATATTATTTTGAGCTTTAAGTTATGATTGTTGGAAAATGGCAAAAACACATTTTTGATATCTTGAAATTTTCGAGATTTTCCCTTTTTTCCGAATTTGTTTCTCGTTGCTTTTCTTTTCTTAATTTTAGTTTTTCTAGAATACTAGATGTTACAATATCTCCCACTAGGGAACATTCATCATTGAAAGATAATTTTTTCTCTAAGTTAAGGGTATTAATTTCATTTCGGCACTCAGTAACACAAGCAAGTATTACCTGCTTACACATAACCTCATAAAGTGTTAAGAAGAGAATTTTGTACCTTTATTTTCCTCCTCTCCAAACACAATGATATGCGGGTATATTTCTTCATACCCTCCTCTACATCCCAAGTTGCTTCTTTAACAAATGGTTCCTCCAAAGGACACTGACTGAAGCAACTTCTTTTTTCCTCAACGTGCGAACTTGCAGATCCAAAATCTGAACCAGAACTTCTTCATTGAATAAGTTATCCTGAATCCCCACATTCTCTGTTGGTACTATCAATGAAGGATCAACCAAAAAGTTTTTCACGATAGAAATATAAAATACCGGATGAACCACTTCTAACTCTTTGGGTATCTCCAACTCATATGCCAGGTTTCCAACTCTTTTGCAGATTCTATAAGGTCCAATATACCAGGGACTCAGTTTCCCATTCTTTCCAAACCTCGTAACTCCTTTCATAGGTTACACCTTAAGGCACACACAATCATCTACCTCAAAATCTAATGCCCTTCTTCTAACATATGTTTAGGACTTTTGGCTATTTGGTGTAGTCTTCAACCTTTCCTGAATCACTTTCACCTTCTCCATAGATTGGTTAAATAAATATGGTCTATCAACCCTGCTTCGCCCTCGAACTACCCAATAGGATATATGCATCTTCTCCCATAAAGAGCTTCATATGGAGCCATTTAGATGCTTGAATGATAACTATTATTGCAAGCGAACTCGATGAGAGGTAGGTGATCATTCCAATTTACCTTGAAGTTGATCACATAAGCTCACAACATATCTTCTAAGGTCTTGATAGTGCTGTCTACTTATCCATCTGTCTAAGGATGAAAAACAGTCCTTGAATTCACCTTGCAACCCAAACCTTTTTGAAGTAATGGAGATCGGGACTCAACGAAGTCATACAACTTCCTGAAGGTACACCCTAGCATAATTCTTTGCCGAATAGCTAGTCTTGACTTTCAAAAAATCGGCTGGCTTTGTTATTTATTCGACAATAACCCAAATAGAATCATGTTGCCTCCGTTATCTTGGCAAGCCTATGATGAATTCTATATTAATTATCTCCCACTTCCATTTCTGAAGTTCTATATTCTGATCTAAACCTCCATTTCTTTGTTGTTCTACCTTCACTTTCTGTCAATTTGAACACTTGGAAACAAATTAGGCAATATCTTTATTCATGCCTTCCAACGAATATACCTCTCTCAAATCACGGTACATGTTAGTGGAACCTGGATAAACTGAATATATTGAGTTATGAGCCTCCTCCAAGATTCCCTCTTGAAGTCCATCCACCTTAGGTACACATAGTCTTCCTTGATATTTCAGTACACCATCTCCCCCTTGTCCAAAAGACAATACTCTTTGGCTGTGGACACTTGCCTTCAAATAAAATAGGATAGAGTCTTGGTCTTTCTTCTCTTTCACTTCTAACACCAAAGATGATTCAGCCGCATTGGTTACTACCATGCCTCATTCAGTTGAGTCCACAAGTCTGACTTCAAAAAGTGCAATTCTACGCACATCTTTGGCTAACACCCACTTTTGTTCTTCGACATGGGAAGTAATTCATATGGACAACGTACTAAAGGCATCAACAACCACATGAGCCCTACCTGGGAGGTAAATAATACTCATGTTATAATCCTTGAGTATCTTTGTGTTATATTGATCTCTTTCTGAATGAACACATATTGGAGAATCTTGTGATCAGTTAATATATTCACATGAACACCGTATAAATAAGGACGCCATATCTTCAATGAAAACACTAATTTAGCCAATTTTAAGTCATGAGTTGGATAATTTTTCTCCTAAACTTTTAACTTTCTGGAAGCATAAGCTATGACCTTGACATTTTGCATTAACACACAAACCAAGACAACTCTTAATGCATTGAAATACACCACAAAGCCTTGAGTACCCTTTGGTAAGGTCAAAATCGGAGTGGTAGTGAATATCTTTTTCAACTCCTGAATGATTTTCTCACAAGCTTCAGACCATTGAAACTTGACTTTCTTCTGAGTTAACTTTGTCAAAAGGAGAAGAGATAGATGAGTATCCTTTAACAAATCTCCTATAATACCAATCTAAGCCCAAGAAACTCCTTATATATGTCGGAGATGTGTCTCTAGGACAACTCGGAACTGCTTCTTGCTTCTGAGTGTCAACTTTAATACCTTTACCAGAAATAATGTGGTCTAAGAACGCCACATACATAAGCAAAAAATCACCCTTGGAGAACTTGGCATACAACTTATTATATCTCAAAGTCTGAAGAACAACCCTTAGGTGACTTGCATGATCTTCTTCACTCCTTGAATAAATTAGCATGTAAAGGAAGACGATGACAAAAGAATCTATATAAGGTTTGAGAACTTTCTTCATCAGATGTATGAATGTTGCATGTGCATTTCTCAAACTAAAGGACATAACAAGAAGTTCATAATGCCCATAACTTGTTGTGAAAGTTGTCTTGGGAATATCACATTCCCTAACATTAATTTGATGGTAGCTTGATCTGAGGTCAATCATGGAAAATCAAGAAGCACCATGAAGTTTATGGAAGAGATCATCTATCCTTGGTAGAGGATATTTATTCTTTATGGTCACCTTTTTTAACTAACAGTAATTTATACACATACTAAGGGACCCATTCTTCTTTCTAACGAAAAAGACAGGAGCGCCCCAAGTTAAGACACTTGGTCGGATGAAGCCTTTATCTAACAGATATTTTAGTTGTTCTTTTAGTTCTTTTAATTCTGCTGGTGCCATTATGTATGGAGAAATAGATATAGGACAAGTATCTGGGATGACATCTATGCCAAAGTCTATCTCTCTTTTAAGAGGGACTCTAGGTAGATCATCCTGAAAGACATATAGAAACTTATTGACTATAGGAACTTACTTAAGGGAAGGTACCTCAGCACTTGAGTCATTAACTCAGATAAAGCGGTAGATACATCCATTAAAGTCCAAAAACATGGATTACAGCTAAAAGCGATCAGCAACAATCCAATCAACAAGAACGTCAAACATTAATTGAAGATTTCAACCTCTAACATGTGTTATTTCATGAAATTGACTTATTCGAATGAAATTAGTGTGTGGGTGAATTAATCCAACATAAAAGATCCCACATACCTTTTTAGGGATCCACCCCAACAAAAATCCACAAAGCTAAACTTGCTGTTCTCGCGTCTTATTCTTCCTTCTCCTCATTTCTACTTGCTTTCAAAACCCTAGTCTATTTTTTTAAGTGTATAAACTGAAAGGGAGCAGTTTAGACACCAACATATTACTCCAAAATGAAATATTTAATTGACTTAAGTAAAACAACGAAAAACCCTTACTAAATCCAGATTTTGGAACTTTCTTTACTCAACATTCCATCTTCAAAAGGTCATATCTCAATGATAAGACCTCGGAAATTCACAATCTTGGTGTCGTTGAAAAGATATTTCAACGAGACTTCCATCCATATAAAGAACTCACCCAAACTCTTCCTGAGCTTGAAGTTATGGTCTTTTAAAACTGGCCATAACACACTTTTGAAATCTTGAAATGTTCCAGATTCTCCTATTTTTTTCAAATTTTTCTCTCCTTGCTTTATTAGCCAATTTAGTTTGTCTAGAATATTAGATGTTGCACCCCCAATCCATCCAATTCAAACATGCAAACTCCAAGTTGACCTGTGAAGAACTCGTTCTTTTCTTAGGGGATTGACTTCATAATGATACCTAATATTTGCTCGTTTGTAACACAAGACTTCAAAGTAATTTCATTAGTAGAGACAAGACATCAATTATAGAGATAGTAACAAAGTTTATTTGCACTAGTTACTTTCTGATTAAAATATGCAACAAGTCTCCTTAACCAAATTGCTTGACAAGATATGGAGGTTGCTACAATATATTCGCCCTCTGAAATTTATAAGGCCATAACTTCCTGCTTCAATGAACTCCATGAAACGCTGATATCGTAAAGGATGCGTGAAGCATCTCTATCAATAAAGCCACTTAATGTTAATTTTATTAGTTCTTAGAGAATACAAAAATTCATGATCTATTGTCCCAACTATACATCTCAGTTTCGTTGTGTATGAATCTCGACATGACTCTAACAAAAAATTCAATGTATGGTCTTGTATGGGACAAGTAATTCAAACCACCAATTAAAATTCTAAAATAAGTCACATTTTCCATTTCAAAACATTTATCATGAAAAAATTCTCATTACTATTCATCGCCATAAACTTTACAATTACCATAGCGAACTTTTTGAAAAAAATTGTTGCATATTTTTTTGTTAAATAAACATGATTTTAATGTCCCGTTACAACTCAAGACAAAAAAAATATTGGTATAGAAACCCAAATCACACATCTAAATTTTCTTATCATGTACTTCCTTACTTCAGTGACGATAGACTATCTGGAACCCATATATATCATATCATCAATGTAAAAACATACCACAAAAAATGAATTTTACCTTCTTGTTTTACATAAAGACTAGGATCATTGCTAGTTCTTTCAAAATCATTCTCATGGAAATCTGAATCAATCGTAGACTACAATGTTTGTGACCCTTTATTTAAGACATAGAGTGCCTTTTTAAAAATTGTAGACCTTATCTACTTTGGCATTGACTACAAATCTTCAGGCTGTGAGACATAGACCTCCTCTCTAAATTCACCATTTAAAAAGAGAAATTTAGCATCAAATTTGTACAATATCCAAATTAAATTAGTAGCAACGATTAAAAGAAGTTCTTTCATATTCAACAGGGCAACAGGAGAAAATTTAACAAGCTCTTTTCCATAGCTTCCCACCATTTATTCTTTTTTTCAGTATCTTCAAAGAAAATACCATTGAAAGAAGTAAAGAAAAAGTACAAGATGTATTATCAACATAGTGGGATTTTTTTTAATCCATAGTTGATCTTCTTAATGCATCTGTCCTAGCTGAGGGTTCTTTCTCTTGGAATTAATGCATTCACTTATAACCTTGATGTTTAGTATTTTAATATTGTATCTTAGTTTCTCAAGAAGCCTTTTATAAATTTGTAATACATGTATATAGTAAATTGTGACACATGTATTTAGGTATTTGTGAAAGACGCTTGATTTACATTATTACTAGTATAAATAGAGATGTAGTTGATGATATCAATCATCTCAAATGGTTTTATGTTGCCTATATAAAACTTTACCATTCTCTAAATATAGTATTCTCATTCTATATTTCCTATAAATTGATATCAGAGTAGTTTTGCATTCTTAATCTAGGGTTAGGTAACCAAAAAAATATGACATCTAAAAAAAATGAAGGTGATAATTCTTGAGTTGTTCTTATATAATTTTTTGAAAGAGCAAATTTTGAATACAGGAAGAAAAGAATGAAAACAAATCAAAAAGCTGAAAGTTTATCCAATATTATTGTTAAT